AAAAAAAAAAAAAAAAAAGAAAAGGACTCTGAATTCTATTGAATACTTTTTCTGCATCTATCGAAGAGGATCTTATGGTCTTTGTTTTTGCTTCTATTGATGCAGTGAATTACGTTTATGGATTTGTATAAGTTAAACTAGCCTTGCATCCCTGGGATGAAACCTACTTGATCATGATGTACAATTTTTTGTACATTTAAAAAATGTGTAGTTGTAATCTATTGGCTAGGATTCTATTGCGAATTCTTGCATCTATATTCATTAGTGAAACTGGTCTTAAGTTCACCTTTTTAGTTGGGTCTTTTTCTGTTATTGGTATTAGAATGATGTTTGCTTCATAGAAAGAATGTGTTGGAGAAGAGTCCTTCCTTCTCAGTATTTTGGAATAATTTCTGTTATTTGTAATATAAGCTGTTCTTTGAAGGTTTGATAGAATTCTGGTGTGAAGCCATTGGGACCAGGGCATTTTTTTGGTTGGGAGATTTTTTTTTTATTGTTTCTTTGATCTCAGGGCTTGAAACTGGTCTGTTCAGATCTATTTCTTCTTGGTTAAGTCTAGGGAGAGGGTGTGATTCTAGGTATTGACCCATTTCCTTCACATGGCCAAATTTCTGGGCATGGAGTTTCTTGTAGTACTCGGAGAAAATCTTGTATATCTCTGTAGCATCCATTGTTTCCTCTTTATCACTTCTGATTGAGGTTATTAGAGATTTCACTTTTCTGTTTCTAGGTAATCTAGCTTCTGTACAATTTAAATTATCTATTGATTGCTTATGCCTAACACAATGTGAATAATATGTAAATAATTATGCTGTACTATTCAGGATATAATAAGAAAGTCTACCCCTTCAGAACAGATGCAGTTTTTGTTCAAATATTTTCTCTCTGCGGTTGTTTGCATCTAGGGATATGGAACCCAATTGTATTTCCAGGATATTCTGTGCACATCCAGGCATACAAGTAGTTAACATCCTTGTGGCAAACTACACCTAGCCTGCACTTCACCTACCACATAATTTCCATCCCAAAATATGTAGTTCTACTCCCTCATTTGTGGTGGCACTCTAGTCTACTAAAGGTATGTGCCATAATATATCCAGTAAAATGAAACCTTTGGAAAGATTAATTTGGCATTAGGGACTGATGCAGTAATAGTAAAGCTGTCTCGCTCTCCCCACAGCCCCAAGTCTGGAGTATGCAAGAGGATGCTGGCAGCAGCTGCCACATGATCTGACACCTGAGTAGAGACGAAGCTCTGGAGGTGATGGTGAACACAATGGTGGGCTCAGAAGCACACCCTAGAGGCTGACAACTGCTTGTTTAGTCAGTTGCCCCAGGGCCCCAGCCTCCATTGGAACACACAGAAAAACAAGCTCAAGGGCAAATAAGTAGGTCCCAGGGCCTGCTGCCACATGCACATGCAGCAGAGATTCAGCGGTAGGGCTGGAATGACAGAGCAGCAGCCTGTCATTCTCCATTGAGAACAGCAATGCTATCACTACTGAAACAATCACAGAATACAGCACCAGGCATTAAGAGCTTCACAGATCATCACCTGATGGGATTCTCATAGTCCCCTCAGCAGAGGGGAAACCAATGCCCAAGGATCCTCACAATCCTAGCACGTGGCACGTGTATGGTAAAGCACCAGCCTGTGCTTCACTGCCCAGCATCTCTGAGTCTGTGCTATCACCTATAGACGCCAAGTATGGGCCTGAGAGCCCACAGTCCTTATCATCCAGGGACATAGGAGGAGCCCAAAGCTGCAAGGCCTGTGTCCTGTGCATCTTCACTCTTGTGGCAGAGAAAAGGCACCAAAACCAACCATGGGCTTCTAGGGTGCTGCTTTACTTTGCATTTTTTATTAAAATACACATTATTTTTTGTTAATCAGAAACTTTTTTTTTTAATAAAAGGGAAAGAAACAACTCCCAGGATACCTGCTTGGGGGCATTTCCAGTGGAGAGCAGAGGTGTCCCCACCCATCCTTGGCACACAGAGTGGCATGGAAGGGCACTGAGTGCCTCATGACCCACCACCATAGAAATAGGCATGTGGAGGCGGCAGATCACCTAGGACCAGTTGGCACTGGTTCTTTCCTCCGGAGCAGTGGTTCTCACCCAGTGGGTCGTGACCCACAGGAACTGTATTAAAGAGCTGCGGCACCAGGAAGGTTGAGAACCACTGCTCCAGGACCTTACAGTGTGGCTTTGGACTCTGTAATGTAATTTTCACAGGAAACCTCCGAGCACACCCCATTTCTCCTGTCATACTTCTCCTGTATCCTCTAAGGGAGTGGGCGAGGAGAACCTCTGGCTCCAACATTACTTGCTTTTTGTTTCATTTTTCTTCACACAAATGAAAAACACAACTAGCACCTTAAATCAGATACTAGTTTTCTATGAAAGACAAAATGAAAAAATATATAAAAAGGTCATTTTATTATGCCTCTGGTTTGATAGGGTATTAGTGCCCTTTAAAATCCTACTATTCAAGTACAAATGCTTATGTTTACAAAGTATTTACAATTTCAGTCTTGTTCCTTTATATTTTAAAACACAACACCTATTGTGGTTACAATAGTTAACAAAAATAATAATAAAGATTGCAAAAAAGAAAAACCTCACCTAATCGGGCATCAACTTTGAACAAGGGTTTGGATCCAACCTTCTGCTTCCCACTGGATGTCCAGCCTTTATTAGAATAAATGTCTCTTCTTTAAAGAGTAACTGGTAACCAACCAGGTGGCCAATTAGAATTTTGACAGTGTTTTGACTGTTGCCTTTATATTCTATGTTCTGAAAATTTCTGACTCATTACATGTATTGTCGGTATGAACCCTGATTCACAAGAAAGCCTAGACAACAGCTTCTTGAACACATACTTAATTCTTAAATTAGAAAGCTTAACCTTTAAAACAAAGGCCAAGAAAAAAATATAATAATATAATGGAGGGAGAATTTTTACTTAAATGCCTCTCCTGAATACCACACTCAGGTAAATCTAGAAGTTACTAAATTGAGTGATGAAAGTACAAATGTCTTCTGTCCATATTTTGTATTAGGGAATCTCTAAAGAAAACATACGTTAGAGACAAAAGACTTTTTAACTCACATAATAAGATAGGGGCAAGAATTCCCCTGTGAATATTCAGAATCCCAATTCTGCTCTCTTAAAAACCTTTTGAGAAAAGTTCCTAAATCCTCTTTTAGTGTTATGGTCAACAGAGGATAATCTTATAGGACATTCTAAAACAGATACACTCAACACTTTATTACCATCTGAAAAGAGACTGCCAATGCTTTGGGAAGGACAACAGAAAAATAAAAAGGGTACACAAAATAATGGCAAAAGAAGATTTCTATGTACTTCAGGAGTAAAAACTCAGACGTATACACAGCCTTCCTGAGAGCTGTGCCCCCTCACTGCAGCACAGGCCCTGAATGAATGAGCAGGGGTGAAAGAACAGGTTAGAATCCTCCACTCTGACACGTAACATAAACTAAAATGTTAAATCCTGTTTCTTTAACACTTTTTACTTTTTTCCAAATTTCTTACCAGGAGCTAATAAGTGAGCTCATTTCACTAAACATGGCCACATGACTATCCACAGACCTGCAGGACAGAACATGGTCCTCGAAGTCAGACTGAGAGCATGGGAGGAAAACAGTAGATATAATTTAAATTAAAAATCTTTACTATGGCAAAACTGATACTGGGTATACAAAAACCTAAAAAAACCTAAAAAACTGAATTTCCTAAACCAAGTAATGTAAAATAGGCAAAATAGAGCCACAGCACAGAGGAGGTTTTATCTTTTTGCTTTGGTTAAAACTTGAAGGCGACATCATCAGCCATTCAGTCCACTAAAACTGCATTCATTATCTTGCCATAGTAAAAAAATAAAAATAGTAGCAAATACGGAGCTTCCTTTTACCCTTCAACAGCATACCTTCCACAGGTGGGGCAGGTGATTTCTCACTTGACTGGCAGAACCACAAACAATCTTACCTGTCTAAGAGAAAATCTGATGTCACATGTCTGCAGTGGAGTAAAAGCTGGCCTGGCCTCTAGGTTAACGAACAGGCCACCTTAAACAAAAGTCTCTCAACTTCCCTGACCAGCCAGAACTAGTCATGGCAGCAGGGGGCCATCTGTGGTGTTCATCCTGCCCTTAACACACACTTGGCCATGCCATCTGCCAAGGACCTTGTATGTCCTCGGGGCTCACACCAGCCCATGGCAGAAGCATCTCAAGGTTCTCTGGAGCTGTTTAGCAGATCCAGTCAACACAAGTCTTATCCAAAAGCTGGGACAGGTGTCAGTCCAAATGTTTCCTTTAACCAAAAATGAATCACACTGAGGTTAGGGCCTGGGAAGGCCACACTGGCTACTTTTTGGAGTAGTGACAGATTTTCTCTTGAACATAGCTGAAAATAGATCACATGTATTTAGATGGGTGTTGGGACTTAACTTCTCAAAAGTTAAAAATGGATGGTGTTTTAGGAGAGAAGGAAAAACCCACATTGGCTCTCTTTGGAACAAAAACCAACCTTAGGTGATTTATTCTGGACAGGCTTCCCTCTTTCAGGACCACGGTGTGCTTTCCAGTGGCAGTAAAACTGAATTATGGCACATGCTATTGAAGGCCATGTTTGAGCTTTGAAAAGCCTATTGTACACTCACTGCAGCCTGCAAATGGTTTTTGTTATATGCAAAGTACCAGATGCTAACAGGGAAGTTTTAAATGGGCTTCAAAGCCCAGTACTATTACTCTGGAGGAAAAACTAAACAGTGTAATGATTTAGAAAAAAATTCACTATACCTTTTAGTTAGTTACACAATACAGAAAAGGGGGCCTTTGATAAGGATCACTTTTCTTGCAGGGTAGGGAGCATTTTAATAAAATGATTACACTACTTTGTTTCAGTCATAGCTTTCCGAGTGTTGAATATCTTACAAGACATTGTCCCAAGATTCAAAAATAAGAGCAGTGTTCTCTGGGAGGAAGGTAGTCTTCCCTTGGTCATGAAGCTGCCCTGCTGTCCTGATTACTGGCATGGAGGTTTGGTGGGAGTCTTCAGCCTGACAGCAGGGACCCGCATTTGTAGCTTGGGCTGTTGGCTCGGGCTCTCAGAGCTGGCTGGCACCTGGGTTGGGTTTGCAACACCAGGAGTCTGGAGCGGGGTAGATGCTGTAGTCACCACTTGCTGCTGTATGAGTTTCTGCTGAACCACCTGGGCTGTCGCGGTCACCGCAGGAATCACCTGCACCTGCTGCCCTGCAGCCGTAGCCTGCGTGAGTGTCACAGTCTGTGGAGAAGCCTGAGCAGAGAGAGTCATAAAACACTTAGTGCAAATGTTCTTTGGGATGGGGAAGGGTTTCCTTCCCCTGAGGAACTTTGCTAGCAGGTGTGCTTTTGTGACAGGTTAAGAACTATCAGTCACATCAAAATATGACCTCTGGTTTCTAACTGAAAAAAGTAAAAAATTAAAATGTTGTTGCTTTTAGACTAAAACCAATGTCTCTGGAGAAAAAGGTCAGAGTTGGGTCAGAGGACTGACTTTGGTATTGTTGTAAAGCTTTTATGACTATCTGGTTTCTTGAAATTTGTATGCCAGTATGACTTTGAACAAAATAAAAGCATTTTAAATCTAAACATTGTGCTGCATGGTCACAACTTGTAGCAATAAATGAGAACAGTGACAGAGCCTGAAGGGCAATTTTTCTAGGAAGGTGAAGCCAACACAGTCTTCACAACCCTTCTGCTCAGGGACCACAAGGGTGCAGAGAGAAGTCTGCCTTTTCAGGTCTGTGCTCTTCTGAAACTACAGGGAAGTTTCTTTATCTTATAGGACACATTTAAGATTACTGGTTGAATAAACGATCCTAGAAATGAGCAAAAGACAAGACTTCTGTAGTATAGGTGATGCTAAGTTTGAACACATTTGTTTGTGGATTTTCCCCTACTATTAGGTTTTCAAGTTTTCCCCCTAAAGTTAGTATTTTTAGGTATGTTTTGAAGATCAAAGTGATTCTCTAATTACTGTACTTCCTCAGGATAAAAACCACAGATTCTTGTCTCACTGAGTCTGTGTGAAGCTTCCCTTGGCCGTGCACCTTGTGCCTTACCTGCTGGACACTGGCCACAGGTGTCTGCTGTTGGACAACTTGAGGAAGTTTCGCAACCTTTGACAACAAAAACAAAAAAAAACAAACATAGAACTCAAAGGACTCTGTGTACAAAAAGAAAAATTTCTACCTTCTCAGTTCTTTTTTTTTTTTTTTTTTTTT